GTAGGTGACTTTGCCCCCCCCCCCCTTCACGGGGTTTTCACGGCAGGAGATGTGCGGTGGTGGCTTGCCGTTGCCTGCCTCAGGATAGGGACCTTGGACTTCCTGGGTGGTCTCCCAACCAAACACTGACCCGGGCTGCCTCTGCTTAGCTTTTGAGATCTGACGAGATCGGGCTAGACTGGGCTACCAAGGTCGGGCCTTCGTGCATATACTGTAGACACACACAACGTATTTTCAAACACATGTTCATCACTGATCAAACGTGAATCACTTTCAGTGCAATCCTATGCACTTATGCCCTTCTAAGAAGAAGAAGAAGAGATTGGATTTATACCCCGCCCTTCACTACCCAAAGGTGTCTCAGAGCAGCTTACAAACTCCCCTCCCTTCCCCTCCCCACAACAGACACCCTGGGAGGTAGGCGGGGCTGAGAGAGCTCTGACAGAAACGGCTCTTTTTCAAGGACAGCTCTTATCAGAACTACGGCTTGCCCAAGGAGGTTCTCCCAGATTAGAGTCTGCGCACTTAACCACAACACCAAACTAAGCCCACTGACTTCAAAGTGTGTAAATTTGTTTAGGATCTCACCGGCTGCTATTAATATGCTGTAATGGGCATGATTTTAACACACCAATGCTCCATCTAAGCTGTGGAGTCTTGTGAGCAAAAATTCTACTTTGCGAGCTCCTGGCACTAAAGTTGTGAGCGAGGTGATTTGGCTGCTGCATAAATTAGTTTGCTCTGGAGCCCTCCTTCCTGGGCTAAGACAAAAATGAGTGAGCCGGAGGCTAAAAAAAAAACGGTGAGCTAGCTCACACTAACTCAGCTTAGAGGGAACACTGTAACACACTATTGAAGAGTTCAGCATTTTCAGTGTTACAAGGTTTAACTTGATTTCCAAATCCGCTGCTAGTCCTAGTGTGACTTCCTGTACAAATAATAAACTTTATTTTGCTTACTACAACAGATGATCTCTAGTGACCCCATTTATTTCCCCCTGTCTCTCTGCTGTTGAGAAATAAGACCCATATCCTAAGGCGGTATTAGTTGCAGCAGTTTGCTGCTCCCTCCCAAGGACTTGGCATCTTCACGGTTCTGCTTGCAGAACGCTCAGGAGTTCGTTCTTCTGACTCTTCTCGCTACGGGCAATGCGAGCCAGAGGGTCTATCGGTACTCACCCGGGCAACTTCCTGGGGCTGCCGCCCATTCTCGGCAGCGCAGTTGGAATGCATGACGACTCCTGCCCAGTCCTGGAATCACATGATAGCCTGAGGGAAAACAACCAGAGAAGATGACAGTTGAGCAATACAGAAGCATGACCCTCCGTCGGACAGGACCGCTGCTGCTGAGGTCGTGCCATTTTGAGCCCGTACAAGTAGAGCTGGGAGGTAGATGATGAGCCTCAGGTCTACAGCGGTCATGGGAGGCCGTGAAAAAGGAGCTGACTCAGTGTTAACCCCCACCCCACCCCCTTCCCTTTTCTGTGCCAAGAGGGAAACACCAGAACGGCACATAAGGAGAAGGCCAAAATGCCATGTAATCAGTCCCTGACAGACAGCTGGACTATCCCCCCCCTGCGGAGAACAGCCGAGATAATCCAGAACACCCCACGGAAAGCACACAAGAAGTGCAGCCACAGCAACCACTCCGAGTGCCTCCCCGTCTCAGGCTTGGCTGCTGGGCAGGTGCTCAGCATCAGCTACTCGCATCTGCCACATCTTGCCCAAGGAACCTGCTCCGGAAGACCCGGTGTTCTGTCCTGGAGGAAGGTGTTGTGGTTAAGTGCGCGGACTCTAATCTGGGAGAACCGGGTTTGATTCCCCACTCCTCCACTTGCACCTGGCTGGATGACCTTGGGCAAGCCGTAGCTCTGATAAGTGCTGTCCTTGGAAAAGAGCTGTTTCTGTCAAGAGCTCTCTCAGCCCCACCTACCTCACAGGGTGTCTGTTGTGGGGAGGGGAAGGGAAAGGAGTTTGTCAGCCGCTCTGAGACACTTTTGGGTAGTGAAGGGCGGGGGATAAACCCAATCTCCTCTTCTCTTCTTCTTCTCCCCAGGGGTCCTTTTCACCAACCCAACAGCCAGAATGCCACTGTTCATCAAGACACCTGCAGGGACAAATGCCAGCCTGCTCTGTCGAGGGCAGCTAAACACCCCGGAATGAACCACAAAATCCAAGTTAGAGCCACTGGCCAAAGCCACACAGTGGCTTGGGAAGAAGGGGGGGGGGAGGCTCTCTGCCTCCCTCCCCACTAGCCTTTGCCACAGGACTTCCGGAACTCTGGATGCTGCAATTCTGAAAACTGAGCCGTGACCACAGACGGCATCTCCCCCACGCTCTGGCCCAGCTGCTTAGCTTGCCAGTCCAAGGGGCAGGAATGAGCCAAGCGCCCTTTCTGCATGGGTCTGATTCTCAGCCTGAAAAAGATGGGGTAGTCCAGTGGCTAGACCCCTCTACTTGAGAGTTCCCAATTCAGATTCCGCCCTTGCTATGAATTCACTGGGTGGCCTTACAGGGGATTACTGTAGAGGAAGAATACAGCAGATACCAGCACTGCATTTGAGGCGCCCTAGGATTTTTCACAGAGTGATAGAAGGAACTGAGCCCACATATAGGTGGTCCATCCCCTGGCAGTTCCAGACTCTGACAGCCAGTATCACAAAGGTGCTGGTGCAGGAGACCAAGGTATGGTATATGGTGGGACAACCCCATGACATCAGCAATAGGGTTCAGGTCTATATTATGGCAAGGCATAAGAGATGACACTGGCGGTGAGCAGACACAATGTGCTTTCGCAGACATCAGGCCAGGCACACTGCCTTTCAAACTTAAGGAGACTCTCATTTTAAGAAAAACACAGGTCACGCTGGGTTTTCACTTCGGACACCACCTAAACCTCTCAACTGTTTTCCTCAAAATTGCCAGACCTGCCCCACAAACCTTTCCTTGCCTGCTCTCAGGGGTGCACTCGTCATAATTTGACCTTTATAGTCAATTCTGTTTATAAGAGCCCAGAGCAAGCGCCTATTTTTTTTTAAAAAAGCACACACAATTCCCATCAAAACAGGTACAAAATAGGCTTGTGGCCCTGGACACATTTACTAGATGTGTAAAAAAAAGTATGCAAAAAGTCTGCTGTCAGTTCCACAGCTCAACCCTGGAAGCCAAGAACTGGCAAAAAGAGAGAGCCTTTAACCATAAGCAGAGCGATGTTCCCTTGATCCTACGTGACCACCATCACCTTCCATTCATCCACAAACAGCCACGTCGGATTAAGGAATAGGACTTTACAACTGAAGAGTTAGGATCCCAGAATGGGTTTGGGGCCAAAGCATCATACCACAGCCGCTGTCTCTGAAACCCAGAACTATGGAAACCAAGATCTTAACCCACACGTACTCACACACCTAACCACACCCTCTGTTAGGAAAAGAGGCCAAACAAAAGGAGTGTCAACAGGATCCCATCACAACCAGTGTTCCCTCTAAGCTGAGCCAGCTCACAGTTTTTTAGCCTCCAGCTCACACATTTTTGTCTCCGCTCAGGAAGGAGGGCTCCAGAGCAAACTAATTTATGCAGTAGTCAAATCACCTGCTCAAACCTTTAATGCCAGTAGCTCACAAAGTAGAATTTTTGCTCACAGGACTCCACAGCTTAGAGGGAACATTGATCACAACCACTGATGATTTGCAGATGAAACTTTGGCTGCCCTAACTAAGAGGCCTGAGATAAATTCCCTCTGCCTCAGTCTTTCTCAGGGCAAGAAGTTCGGCTACCACGTCCTAGAGACATTTCACCTCTTGCAAAACACTGGGCTGAGCACCAAAGCGAGCAGCCGCTCGAAGGCATGTTCCCAGAAATCCCTTTGCTGACAGACACTGGAGGAAAACTGTGGAGGGAGGGCAGTTCTGGTTAGGAGAAAATTTCACAAACAGCAAACACAAGCCAGCCTGGGAGATCCCTTCAAGGGATCAATTTATATCCTGGGATACTAACAGCAAATATTTGTGCAGGGCATTCAGCCACACTCAGCAGCCTTGCACCTTGGCCATCCATACCCAAATAGTTTTGAAAAAAGAATGTGGTAAACATTACATGTACAGACCAGTGTTCCCTCTAAGCTGAGTCAGTGTGAGCTAGCTCACAGGTTTTTAGCCTCCGGCTCACACATTTTTGCCTTCGCTCAGGAAGGAGGGCTCCAGAGCAAGCTAATTGATGCAGCAGCCAAATCGCTCACACACAACTTTAATGCCAGCCGCTCACAGTGTTCCCTCTAAGCTGAGTCAGTGTGAGCTAGCTCACAGGTTTTTAGCCTCCGGCTCACACATTTTTGTCTTAGCCCTGAAAGGATGGCTCCAGAGCAAACTGATTGATGCAGCAGCCAAATCTCTTGCTCACAACTTTAACGCCCGGAACTTACAAAGTGCGATTTTTGCTCACAAGACTCCACGGCTTAGAGGGAACATTGGTACAGACAGTGCCTAAACTCCAGCAAGGAGGAAGGTGAAAGAGTGAGCGGATCTTCCAATGAGTGATGGAATCTAGAAAGGTCTTTAAAAAAAGAAAGAGGGGAAAAAGAGGCGCCTGAACTCCCAAGAGGGAAATGGAGTTTTCTATCTGTATACTGAAAACTCATGAACGTTTAAACATTTTAAAAAGAATGCTGTTGAAGAGGTTCCAAAACTCTGTTCCAGTGTGTTCCCCCAGGAAAAAAAGCCCTGGATCTAGACAACAGAACGCCTTCACCCGCTCACCTTCATGCTTGGCAAGGCAACCCTCCAGACGTTCAACCAGACCTTAAACCCCGAGTCCAGCAGGCTCTTAGTCTCCTCCAGAAATCAGTCCTTTGAAACCACACCTCTCAGAGGCAGTCAGATTCCCGGTTCCTTGAATGCTGTCGTCTTCAGAGTCAAGAACAATGGAGCAGGTGACAGATGCCAAGTCACAGTCTTGGGATGAAAGCCACAAAAGCCAAGTCACACGCTGGTTCAAGTCAGAGCCTGGAAACTTTAAAAGCTCAGACATGAACACTTTGTTACGCACATGGGGGGGGGGGGAAGAGGCTGTTCCTCAGTGCGCGATGAACACTATAACCCGGTGTCTTCATCCAGGATGCTGAGAAGTATCAGACAACCAACCAGGCTTCATCTGGTGAAGAACCTGAGAAAAGGTTTCAGACCCACCTACTGGGCGGGGGACCAACCCTACTCAGCCCCTCCCACTGATCCCAAGCAAGACAGAGAGCGCACCCAACAGACAAACGGCCACCAGTGAGGTCACCTGGAATCGGCTTCCGTTCCTTTCAACCTTTCCCAACACATTGCTCCTAAGCGAGTGAGTCATGCACTGGAAGACCTGCAGCTGAGAGCGGCACATGGCAAGGATGTGGGAGGCCCAGTCCTCCAGCACGGCCAGTAGAGGCTTCTTGGAGAAGGCTCAAGAGCTGTGCGACCGGCCCGGCTAAAGGGACACTGGCCTGTCTTGGTGTTCCCTCTAAGCTGAGTTGGTGTGAGCTAGCTCACAATTTTTTAGCCTCTGGCTCACACTTTTTTTGTCTCATCTCAGGAAGGGACGGCTCCAGAGCAAACTGATTTATGCAGTAGGCAAATCGCTCGCTCACAACTTGAATGGCCCGTAGCTCACAAGGCAGAATTTTTGCTCACAAGAGTCCATATCTTAGAGGGAACATCTTGGCAGCCACTTTTATTCTCACACACAGCCTCCTCTCCCCTTTTCTATAAGGGCACGTGATAAGCATGGTTGGGGGCGCAGGCCGATTTAATGCTGTACTTCTAAAGATGCCAGTATTTCTCTAGGTGCTACAGAAATACGTGCAACAGCCCAATGCAGAGCGGGCACCCTTCATGCCAGGGCACCCACAGATGTGTTCCATGTCGCTGCTCACTTTCTTCTCCCTCAAGGCACCAAACCAGGCCTCCTCACGGGAACCGGAGGTGCTTCAGAAAAGACCTCTGTACCTGCAGGTAGCCCCCATTCAGAAACAGCCCCCTCCAGCATAGGAGGACAGCCGGTCTGGAACCCCCCAATATCCCCATAGCCATTCTGACAACACAACAGCTGGACCTAACAACACCTGCCATACCAGGTTCATTCACTGGTTCATCTTCCAATGTTATACATGCCATCACGTGTCCACACCTTCTGACGAGGATACACACCCATTTTTTAAAAATAGTTCTTTATTATATTTCTCAACATGAATACCATGAAACACACATATAAAACATAAAGGAACCCACCTCACATTTCAAATAGCTATAAATATGTATATGCTCATAAGAACATAAGAGACGCCAATGTTGGATCAGGCCAAAGGCCCATCCAGTCCAACACTCTGTGTCACACAGTGGCCAGAAATACCAGTGCCATCAGGAGGTCCACCAGTGGGGCCAGGACATTAGAAGCCCTCCCACTGTTGACCCCCCCCAAGCACCAAGAAGACAGAGCATCACTTGCCCCAGAGCCCCTAGCTATACCTTGTGGCTAATAGCCACTGATGGACCTCTGCTCCATATGCTTATCTAATTCCCTTTTGAAGCCATCCATGCTTGTAGCACCCACCACTTCCTGTGGCAGTGAATTCCAAGTGTTAATCACTCTTTGGGTGAAGAAGGACTTCCTCTTATCCGTTCTAACCCAACTGCTCAGCAATTTTATGGAGTGCCCACGAGTTCTTGTCTTGTGAAAAATAGTTCAATCTTTGCCTTGTATTTTCATTGAAAGATTATCTAGTTCAGCTATCTCCAAAAGTTTTTTTAAATAAAATTCTTGTTTGGACGGTACCTCCTCTCTCTTCCAACTCTTAGCGAAAACAAGTCTTGCAGCTGTTACAAACTTAAGTGGTTAAATTTTCGACCGAGAGGACTACAGATTTGCAGAGAAAACTTCATAATGGCTAGAGAAGTAGAACTCCAACAGACCATACTTTCTTCGAGGTTTCTGATGCGAACCCAGTGAGCAACTATCTGAGATGCTTCTCAGAATCCGAGCGAGGTGGCTGAATCAGTGGCCCACTATTCCTCATCCAGCCCTCGGTGCTCCAAGCTCAACTGGAACACCCCCCAGCCCCAAAGGCCAGCCACACACTAACCCTTTGGGAAAGCTGATTTCCCCCACGCTTATTCTCCGCTGTTCTCCTCATGAAGGCAGCACCCAAAAAGGATCTGATCTGTTACTAGCTTTACCTGCCACAGCAGAGCTCCTGGCAGGAACAGCAAATCCCCCCCCCCCCTCAAGTGGTTAAGGACCTTCCAGTTGTTGTTCAGAGTTTTGCAATCTATGCCCTATGGACTCCGTGCCAGCATGACACACTCCCTGGTGCCTGTGAACAAGGAACACCACATTCTCCAGCTCCCTTCTAAGGAGGTCATTGCAAAATCCACCAAGATGCCATCGTCATGAGTCAACGGCACGGAAGGAAGTCATTCAAAAGTCACAGAGAAGCGATCAGAGGCCCGTGAACATGCTGGTGCATAAACATGCTTATGAATCTGCACCATAAACGTGCTTGGTCTTGAGCTACCGGCCTTGTGGCAATTCTGAAGGCAATTCTCTACAGGAAAACTAGGATGCAGCTGTCCTTGGCCATCTCCAACCTGACTCCACGTTGCTCCCGTGGCGCCCTCCCCCAAAGTATTTGAAAGTTGCTTCCTCAGAACGCTCACTCTGCATCATACCACAAACAGATCTCATGACAGAAAAAGCAGAAACTGAGCTGTTCCCAGACCACTTCTGGGTTCCCGGATGCTCTTCAGGCAAGCGGGGCAATGAGGCCTCTTTGAGAGATGGCGTGATGGGGGACGAAAGCCGCCTGGGGAAAGGAGGGTTCAGCGGCCCAGAGCCATTGGTTGGTGCTGTTCCACTTCCTAAGGTCGCCTTCTATCTCCTGCCTACTCATTTCATCAAACCCCATTTCTTTCTAAAGCTACTCTGGTTTTTCACCCTCTTGCTTCTCAATTTGTTGTTGTTCAGTCGCACAGTCGAGTCCGACTCTTCGCGACCCCATGGACCAGATCACGCCAGCCCTACTCCTCAGACACGTCGCAGTCCCTCTGGCCAGTGGGAAACCAACCCCAGACATTTTATGGTGGCACAGGACGTGTCTCGGTGAGGATGGGAAAGGGAGCTGTGATAAGAGGGGCTGGCCTTAGAACTCGATCCACAAGGCACAACTCTATCCACAACCATAGTGTGTAACACAACGGTCACACACAAACACACACACTCTTTATTTTCTGTTGTTGTTCAGTCGCACAGTCGAGTCCGACTCTTCGCGACCCCATGGACCAGATCACGCCAGGCCTTCCGGTCTTCCGCCGTCCTCTGAAGTTGGCTCAATTTCATGTCCGTTGCATCGATGACACTGTCTAACCATCTCATCCTTTGCCGTCCCCGTCTTCTTTGACCTTCAATCTTTCCCAGCATCAGGGTCTTCTTCTCCAGGGAGTGCTTCCTTCTCATTGGGTGGCCAAAGTCTTTGAGCTTCAGTTTCCTTATCTGGCCTTCCAGGGAACAGTCAGGGTTGATTACTTTTAGGATCGACTGAATTGATCTCCTTGCAGTCCAAGGGACTCTCAAGAGTCTTCTCCAGCACCATAGTTCAAAAGAATCTATTCTTCGGCGCTCGGCCTTCCTTATAGTCCAACTCTCGCAGCCGTACACAACTACTGGGAATACCATTGCTTTGACCATGCGGACTCTCTTTATACCACATGGCTTTCTCCAGACAAACAAAGCAGAGTGACAAAAACCTGGAAGAACAGGACTGTCTGGGAAGGGTAAGAGAAGGCCACCTCTTGTCTCTTCCAAATGTCCATATTCTTCTAAAAAACAGAAGACTCTCAGCATCGTTACTGTGGCAGAACAGGCCCCCCAAAACCTTGTTCTACCTTGGCAGGGAGGAGATGTGGAACTTACCCAGCTGACTCTGGTCACTAGACCCTAATGAGGAGCACCTCTGCCTTGTTCTACCACTCCCCAACATAATAAGATTCCTTTTGTCAACCAACCCGTTGCAGAGTCAGACAGATGTCCGTTTAATCCTGCTGGCAATTATTTCTTCTGGCCTCTTTGATGACTCTTCTTCCAATTAAGAACCTGGCCACCTTACGCAGGGGAAGGTTGGGGAATCTTGGGTATTAGACTAATGAAAATGAGGGCAGGAGTCTCACTTTTTCTTTGTCCCTTGATGAGCATGCCTCAAAATTGTGTATGTGAAGAACCCAGATCTCTAAACTCATTGCAAGAGAAAAAGATTACCTTTACATAATTAAAGGTCTAAAAAAGCTTATACTTGAGCAGAATGGCCTAAAAGCAACAGATCAAGGGGGAAATAAAATGAAGAAGAGGAGATTGGATTTATACCCCACCCTTCACTACTGGAAGGAGTCTCAGAGCGGCTTACAATCTCCTTTCCCTTCCCCTCCCCACAACCCTGTGAGGTAGGTGGGGCCGAGAGAGCTCTCTCAAGAACTGCTCTTTTCAGAACAGCTCTGAGAGAACTGTGACTGACCCAAGGTCATGCCAGCAGCTGTATGTGGAGGAGTGGGGAATCAAACCCAGTTCTCCCAGATTAGAGTCTGTGCTCCTAACCACTACACCAAACCGGCTCTCAGTGAGTGATAAATGCAACCCTCTTTCTCTAAAGTCATCCCTGTAAGTCGGGAAGTAAGACACAGGCAGAATACCCTCAAGATTAGTAAAGGTTTCCCTTGCTTGAAAGCCAGTTGAATCTGACTCTAAGAGGCAGTGCACATCTCCGTTTCCAAGCCAGAGAACCAGCCCTGTCCGTGGTCATGTGGCCGGCAGGACTAAACGCCGAGGCGCACGGAACGCTGTTACTTTCCCACCGAAGCGGTACCTATTTATCTGCTTGCAGTTTCTTGCTTTCGAACTGCTAAGTTGGCAGGAGCTGGGGCCAGAGGCGGGAGCTCACTCCGTCACGCGGCACTCGGGTCTCG